GTACTCAATTTGGTGACTGGGTAAACAGTATGGGCTCAGGAGGACTGCTTGAATCTGAGTTCCCAGCTTGATCACGTACTAGCTGTGGATTTGGGGCAAATTACTTAACCTTCCCAAACCACAGTATCTTCAACTGTGGAATGGAGATAACATTACTTATCTCTTATTGTCGTTATGAGGATCAAAAGAGATAATACACGTAAATAGATTAACTTGGCCTGACACAGCGTACAGAGCTGCTAGTATCACCATAATCGTCCGTCATCTCCCTCCTTTATTCTGGTCGGAAATGTCTCTGACATCATTAGCCTCTAAATGTTGAGGGCAAGTTCCCTTGTTTGATTGATCTTCGTCTCTTCCTTATGCGTAACTGTACACAGTTGGTACTAATAAATGTCCTATTTTGTTTCTTACTCTTCCAAAGCAAAAGAAGTAAATTTCAAACTGTGCCTCCCCCACCCGCTAGCGCCAGAGGAAGGAACTACAACCAGGGGGCAGAGGAGCAGCTGCGTCCACGTAAAAGCCTTCCGGGAGAGGCAGAACTCCTTTGCCCTTTCTACTGCTGGAGCTGCTCATAAAGTTTGATTTGAATAAAAAAACTGCCAGGCCTTCCTTTCCCTTCAAGAGCTTCTTCCGCCCTCAACACAGATTCTGAGCGCCACGCAAGAGGCGGGAAGAAGCCCGAGGGGGCGGGGCAGGAAGTGAGGTCACCCTCCCCGGGGTGAAAGGTAAGCGGAAGTGCTCTTTCTTTCTCTGCTGTAGGCCCGAGAGGTTGGTGCCGGTGAGTAGCGGCTGGGGCAGGGCATTACAATCCGCAGCCATCCGCGGACTGGGGGTTGAGTTGCGGGGTGGTGCCGGGTGCTTTTCATTCCTCGGTCTCTGACGGCTTCGTAGCGGATCCTGTCTTGAGAGCAGTACCTGCGGGCGGCCTGAGCCGAGACGCAGTGAGCGCCGCTGAAGTTCCGGGCCCACAGCCTGAGCTGGCGGGTTTCTGAGCGGCCCCTTCTCTTTTCTCTGCAGACATGGGCAAGTTCATGAAACCCGGGAAGGTGGTGCTGGTCCTGGCCGGTCGCTACTCCGGACGCAAAGCGGTCATCGTAAAGGTACCAACCTCGCGAACCTGTGCCCCTTTGTATCCCGTGAATGGGGCGGGCGGGCGACTTGGAATTCAAGACCTAGTTTGGGGGCATTACCCACTGAGCATTGCGAATGGTGGCGGGGGGTGAATGCATGAGAGCTTTTGAGAGAGAAAGACGCATAATAACAAATGGGAGTTGAATTGGACAGCTGACACCCAACGCGTTTTCTGTCAGAGAGGTTTTAAATAATACTAATGGCTGACGTTTATTGAATGCTTGCTTGGTACCTGGCACTGCCTTATAGGTGTCGTCATGTGCAATCCTTGCGGTAACTATAAGGTTACTTTCTACTGCGAAGGTTTAGAGCTGTTAAGTTTAACCTGAGGTCAAACAGGTAGTAAGTGCTGCAGCTGGGACTCCGTAAAAAGAGGAGAAATTGTTACTAGTTAAAATGGTCACTTAGCGTAATCTAGCCGTTCACTGTTTGCCTTTTACCTACGTCTTTAGCCTTTTATGAGATTTTCCTAAGCTCTGGCCACATACACCACTGCTGTTGACTGTTGGGGACACCGGGGCACCCTTGGTTCCCTTTCCTCCGTCTACCTGAGGCTGGTTTTGGAGTTAGGCAGCCAGGTTTGGAATCCTGCCTCTCACCATTCCTAGCAGTGCAATCCTGGAGGAGGTTAAGAGATGTAAAGTCCTGAGAGCTAGTGCTTGGCATATAGCAATCACTTCATAATTGTTAACTGTTGTTACATTTTAAATCTCTTGCCTCCCAGGAACCCTTCCAGATTTTTCCTGGTGGGAAGGAAACCACCCTCTTCCCTGTTACTCTTTGGGCATCTAGCATAGCACTTAGAATGTCTGCTTTGTGTCGTTTTTATAATAGTGGGTCTCAGAGGCCTAGGGGTTGACGGTGTTCTTTCTATACACGCCCTACATCTAGCAAAGGGCCTCAATAGCAATAACATGTAATTGCTCATTCAGAACATTGATGACGGCACCTCAGACCGACCCTACAGCCATGCTCTGGTGGCTGGAATTGATCGCTATCCCCGCAAAGTGACAGCTGCCATGGGCAAGAAGAAAATTGCCAAGAGGTCAAAGATCAAGTCTTTCGTGAAAGTTTATAATTATAATCACCTCATGCCTACAAGGTGAGCGTTTCAAGAATGGGAATGAAAGTGACTTTTTCTAACTTTTCCCACTCTCTGCCCTGCTGAATAAGGAGACAACCTTGTAGCCGCTCCAGTGGAAGAGACATCATTTTCAATTTGGCATTTGGCCGTGGTTTCCCAGTGTTGCCTCTTTAATCCATCTTGGAAGTGTTCACTTTCCTGTTGTTTTCTATTGATTTCCCTGACTTGGCAACGCCGGATTGAAAAAACCTCTTCCAAACTTGCTCTTGATCTGTCTCTCTCCTCACCTGAAAATTCTTTGAAGTGTTGAGTAAAGGTTGTTCCATTTGTTTCCAGCCACAGTAAACACAGGCATAGAATCTGGCCTGCCTTCTTCCACTCTCAAGGATACTAGTTATTATAGGGTAGGGTAGTTGTGGGAAACTGAGAATGAATTGTGAAGTTTTTCAGTGGCTTGAATCTATGTAAATGAGTTTGTTAAAACTGGGCATTTCCAAAGAATATCATCAGGACTTTAGCACAGTTTTGATGATAGCTCCTGTGGAGTCAGACCTTAACGTGCCAATGTCCCAGGAGTGGGGCGGAGGGGTGAAGGCCCTGGCAGCATGTGGGCTGCTCCTACCTTCCTGCCATTGTCCCCAGGTACTCTGTGGATATCCCCTTGGACAAAACTGTTGTCAACAAGGATGTCTTTAGAGACCCTGCTCTCAAACGCAAGGCCCGACGAGAGGCCAAGGTCAAGTTTGAGGAGAGGTAAGTAGGCTTTGGTAGTGAATGCTGGAGTATGGTTTCACTGTTCTCCATGAAGACAGTTTTGTCTTCTGTGATTCCTCCCCTCATTAGTGTCCTTTTTTCCCCCCTCTAGATACAAGACCGGCAAGAACAAATGGTTCTTTCAGAAGCTGCGGTTTTAGGTCTGTCTTGTTTCAGTCATTACAAATACAAAAAAAAAAAAATCCATGTGTCTGCTTCCTTCTTGTTATTAGACTGGGAAAGAACATTCATACGATGAGAGACACTGGGTGGTGGATGAGGGACTGTGGGAAAATATAAAATAAAAGGTACATCTGCCTTTGTGAGACATGGGCTACTTCTGTCCATAGCCTCATAATCCTTTAGTGGTCTAACTCAGTGGGTAAAATGTCATATTGAACTGTTTCCCCAAAAGAGCTACTCTGGACATTTTTAGGTGTGGAATTGTTTAAGCATCCCTGGCTTCAACCCATTACATATCTAGAGAACTGTTCCCCCACCCCCACCCCGTGTGACAACCAAAGGCCCCTCTGAGTGGACACCATCTACTTTGGATTAAGAGTCACTAACCTGAGGTGGTTTGTTAAACCGGAGTGCCAGATTTGGTAGGTCAGAATTCAGCATCTTGTCAAGTGATGTTGGTGCTGCTTGGACGAGGACCACACTGGAGAACTGCTCTAGATGGGGATGGACACCAACAATGAAGGCCTGAGCCACAGAGCAGCCATTTCTAGTGGGACCAAGGAGAGGTCCCCAAGTGGTCTGTCTAGCAGAGACAGGCAAGGAAGGGTGTGGTTCAAGGGGGTGGGGCTCTGGATTGTCACCACTGTGTTACAGGAAAGGCGTTTGGCCCTTCTATAGCATTTTACTTCTCATTGGACACTTAACTGTGACTGGTGTTACTGATGAAATAGGTTCTCCAGCCAAGCTAATACTAAGTCACTAAATGGAACTAGGATTCAAATGGCCCTATTTGCCAAGCTTCACACTTGGCACACTTTCAGCTGGGGTGAGGAGTGGGGGCATGAGAAAGGGGCTTAGTAAGTTACTCTGAGTGGGAAGCCCTGGACTAGGTGAAAATAGAAAACATATCCTGCACTGTTTTATGTATATTCATTGGACTCATCTCACCCTTAAGTGTTTTTTGGTTTTTTTTTTTTTTTGGCTGCGTTGGGTCTTCGTTGCTACGCGCAGGCTTTTCTCTAATTGTGGTGAGCGGGGGCTACTCTTCGTTGCAGTGCGCGAGCTTCTCATTGCGGTGACTTCTCTTTTTGGAGCACGGGCTCTAGAGCGCAGGCTCAGTAGTTGTGGTCCAGGGGCTTAGTTGCTCCGCGGTATGTGGGATCTTCTCGGACCAGGTCTCGGACTTTTGTCCCCTGTGTTGGCAGGCAGATTCTTAACCACTGCGCCACCAGGGAAGCCCCTCACCCTTAAGTGTTCGATATCTCCAGTAAGTCACACTCACACTCACTCACAGTCACAAATGGAACTATATTTAAACCCTCCTTTAACTAAAAATTCAAGTTCAAATACTGTTCCAACCAGGTTTGGATACATGCATCACTTCCTAGCAATGTGAGTTTGGGCAGGTTTCTGCACTTCTGTGCCTCACAAGTTTAGAATCTCATCGGGAAAATGGAATCAACTTCAAGGGGTTGTTTTGAAGGTTGAGTTAATTCATGGGAAGCAGAATTGGTATTGGGCACATAACAGCTCTCAAGTGCTGGCTGTTGCTACAGCTTCGTCAACTTGATGGGGCTTTATCTGTCCTGGTTGCATTTCTCATTCAGTTATCAACATCTGCATGTTCTGGGCAACATTCTAAGCTCTTGGGAAATAGCCATTAACAAAGCAGACAAAATTCTACCAATAGGCCTGTGCTGGGATTGCTAGGTTGGGAATGAATGGCTGATTGGGGCCAGCATTCAGTTTGTAGTTGCTTGTGGGGTAACTTCCCCTGAGGCCTCACAGCTGGGGGAAGTTCGAAGACCAGGAAGCCACCCAGGGGTGGAGTACGGAAGGGCAGGGACTTTACTGAAATGAAAGTGAAAGCAAAGAGCCTGCGTAAGAACCATAAGAAGTGTCTTTCAGGCTCTGCCGGGGAGACCAAAACTCCTCAAAGTGCAAGCAAGACTTTAGTCGTGTTGGACCCTGCCAGTTTGTGCCAGCTCTGAAGCTTCAGCCCTTGCTAACTGGACCTTAGACCGTGATGGTGAGAGGAGGGTCTTGGGGGTGGGGGGAATCCAAGAGGAATGCTCCTCTTGGCCAGGAATCTACAGGTATCCCAGGGCCTGGCAGGCAACCCTCTCCCTACCCATCTCTTAGACCTGCTACAGGTCTGGAGAGTGACGGCTGGGATGACCTCTCTGCAAGGGAGTTGGTCCCCTAATCCACTGCCTCAGAGACAGTTCTATAACCTGCATCTCGGGATCGTGAATTCCTTGTGTGGATGTGCATTTTTCTGGAGAAAGAATCCATTGTTTTCATTAGATACTCAAAGGGTTCTGTGACCCCCAAAAGTTTAAGAATTGCTCCAACCTTTATCTCCTGAGATCTTCCTCAACAAGTTCCTCCCCTCCTTATATTTCCATCTAAATGTCACCTTGACCTCTCTTCAGGGCGAGGGGAAGAAGTGTTACCCTGTCTGCTGTGGTCCCCACTTTCCCAACCCCTGATTGCCCCTGCTCGTGCTAGACTAAGCCCTCTGCGGGCTGGTCCTCTGTCTCAGCCTGTTCACCCTTGATCCTCGGTGCCCAGCACAGTGCCTGGCATGCAGTAGGTGCTCAATAAACAGCTGTTGAGTGAATGAATCTCATTTCCCTAGTTTCTTCAGTCTTTCTCCCTGATACTACCCCGTCTGTTACAAATATATAGGTCTCTTGCTTGGAAATTTTTCATTTGCCCCTCAAATGTTGAAGGAAGACACAGGCTGTAGAGGCCAGCCTGCCTGGTTCCAAATCCTGGTTCCTCCAATTGTGTGGCCCTGGGTAAGTTATTAGCCTCTCTAAAGTTTACGATCTAAGCCCCATTTCCTTATCTATTTGGTGGGAATGACGGTAACACTTCACACAAGAATAGCTACCTGCCACAATTAAACTAAACAATCCCTAAAATACACAGTAAAAACTGAGCACGCTGCTTGGCACATACTGAGTGCTCAATACATGTTCATTATTGTTAACATTGCCAGTTCCCCAGTTCAGCCACCCCTCACTCCCACTCTGGAAAAGTGCTCTCTTAAAGGGCCTTTACATATTAGAAAGGAAAGAAGGAAGGTGGATTCAGGAAACTGTATTTTTTTAATATAAATTTATTTAATTTATTTATTTTTGGCTGTGTTGGGTCTTCGTTGCTGTGCGCGGGCTTTCTCCAGCTGCGGCGAGCAGGGGCCACTCTTCGTTGCGGTGCGCGGGCCTCTCATTGCGGTGGCCTCTCTTGTTGCGGAGCGTGGGCTCTAGGCACGCGGGCTTCAGTAGTTGTGGCATGTGGGCTCAGTAGTTGTGGCTCATGGGCTCCAGAGTGCAGGCCCAGTAGTTCTGGCGCACGGGCCCAGTTGCTCCGCGGCACGTGGGATCCTCCCGGACCAGGGCTTGAACCCGTGTCCCCTGCATTGGCAGGCAGACTCCTAACCACTGCGCCACCAGGGAAGCCCAGGAAACTGTATATTTAAAAAATCACCCTAAATTCATTATTGAGAGACAGAGTCTATTAATGACATTGTGATGTCTATCTTCCCAGAATTTTTATGCATTAATAAATATCCTCATGAATTAAAACATTTTAAACCATCAGAATAGGGAATGTATAGGCAGCTTTATATTTTGCTTATTGTGAGCATTTTTTCATGTTAAATGTTCTTTATTACTGTCTTTTAATTGCTAAATATTTTATATTTAGCTGTTTCTTGTTGGACGTGTAGATTTCTTTTTTTTTCCCATTGTAAACAAGGCTACTGTAATTATCCTTGTACGTGAACTGACCATCTCCTTATGATAAGCAGGACTGTTTTTTGTTGCTCAATCTCAGCAGTCATTCTCATGCCTCCTGGCAGAAGGCTTGTTAGCAGCACTGGGCACAGCTGCGGGCTCCTCTGCCTTAAACGTGTTGTTCTTCATGCCTGCTCTCCCTCAGGTTTCACTAGCCCCTCCTCTGCATTCTCCTTGGCTGGTTCTTCCTTGTTCCCCTGATCTCTTAGTGTTGGTTGCCCCAGAAATCAGCCCTTGGACCTCTACATGTTGATCTCATTTAATTTTGTGACTTTAAGTATCTCTGCTTGGATAATTTTCAAATTTATACTCATGGCCTGGACCCCTTCCCTGGATGCCACATCATAGAGGCAACCAGCACTCTACATCTCTACTGGGATGTCAGATAAGCACTTCCTCCCTAATATGTTCAAAGCAAACCCCAATCTCTTCCATCCAACGTATTTCCCATCTCGGCAAATGGCTCTCCTTCCCCTCAGTTGCTCAAGCCTAACAGCTTAGTGTCATCACAGACTCGTCTCTTTCTTCCACATCCTACTTCCAATCCATCAGCAACTTGAATCAATCTAAACTTTTTTTTTTTGCGTGTGTGGCACGCTTGCGCGGCTTGCTGGATCCTAGTTCCCCAGCCAGGGTTTGAACCCGTGCCCCCTGGAGTGGAAGTGTGGAGTCCTAACCACTGGACCGCCAGGGAATTCCCTCAATCAATCTAAACTCTTGACTACGCCTCACCACCTCCACTGCTACCACCTGATCCAGGCCATCAGCATTGCTCACATGGACACTGTCATGGCCTCCTAAGCAGTCTCCCTGTTAGTGCCCTTTCCCCACATCAGTCTGTTCACACAACAGCCAAGTTATCCTGTTAGCATTTAAGCCTGCCTGCAGCCTCCCACCTCACTTTATGTGAAAGGCCCTTCATGGCCCCACTCTGTTTTCTCTGTGACTTTATCTCCCACCACTCCCCCCTCACTCGCTCTCCTCCAGCCACATTGGTCTCCTTGATGTTCCTCAAATACATACAACAAACTCCCACCTCAGGGCCTTTGCACTTGCCGCTCCCTCTGCATAAAACTTTCCCCCACATATACACACGGCTGACTCCTTTATTTCCTTCAAGTATATGATCAAATATCTCAACAAGGCCTACTCTGATCACCCCAGTTAAAACTGTACTCCAACATTCTCTGTCCTCCCTTCTCTGTTTTTGTCCATAACACTTATCACTAACATACTGCAGATTTTACTTATTTATTGTGTTTATTATCTGGCTCATCCCCTAAAATGTAAACTCCACAGGGAAGTTTTGTCTGTTTGGTTCACTACTGTGTCCCCAGAGCCTAGAACAGGGCCCGACACGTGGTAGATGCCTGGTAGCTGATCGTTGCATGAGTGAATAAGGAAACAAATGAGGGAGGGGACTTCCTGTAGCCCTCCTTTTCTTTTGCCTCTGTTTCATCACTCCTCTTCCTTTGTGTCTATGATGCTACCTAATCCTGGCCCTGGCCCTGACCATGCCTTCTTTTTCTTTTCTTTTTTAACATTTATTTATTTATTTTGGCTGCACCGGGTCTTAGTTGCGGCACATGGGATCTTCGTTGCGGCATGCGGACTCTTAATTGTGGCATGTGAACTCTTAGTTGTGGCATGCATGTGGGATCTAGTTCCCTGACCAGGGATCGAACCCAGGCCCCCTGCCTGGAACACGGAGTCTTACCCACTGGACCACCAGGGAAGTCCCCATGCCTTCTTTTTCTTCTCTGCATTCCTTTATCTTTCCTGACCCCTGACTAGGTATCTTCAAAGATCACATTTTTAAGGGCTCTGTCCCTGAATGAGTTCTTCCATCCTCTTGGCTTCTACTATTACCACATACTGTTCTAGCCCAGAGTCCAAGCCACCAAGTCCTGTCCCTGACACTCTGTGTCTTCAACAGCCTTGGGTTTGACTTACTTTGGCCCATTAGGGCCAAAGTTTTTTTGTTTGTTTGGTTTTGTTTTTTGTGGGTTTTTTTGTTTTGTTTTTGGCCACACCACGTGGCTTCCAGGATCTCAGTTCCCTGACCACGGATTGAACCCAGGCCACAGCAGTGAAAGCCTGGAATCCTAACCACCAGGCCATCAGGGAACTCCCACCATTAGTTAACCTTGATGAACCTCAGGTTCCTCAACTATCAAACGGGGATTATTAAAACACAAAACATTTAACATAGCACTCATCATATGCCGGGAACTACTTTTCCAAATAAAATTATACATAGGTAGAAATTGCTATTCCCACTTTACAGATGAAGAAACCAAGGCACAGAGAGTTAAATAACTTGCCCATTGTCTTGGCAGTAGTAAGAGGAGCTGAATGTAAGCCCCGGAGTTTTGGCCCCAGAACTTGTGCTCTTAACTGCTATATTACACTGCCTCTCAGTACTGCTATGATGAACACAGATAGCATGAGATTTTATCTTAGGGGTTGTTAGGTTCTAAACTTGGCAAGTAAGGCAGAAGAATGCATGTAGTCAAATGAACCTCAAATCATTAACTCACCCCTAAGTATCCAGAATTTACAGTCTCTCAATGAGCTCAGTGTAAAACGGATCCCTTTTCTTTTTTCAGTTGAGTACCAGATGGATACTGGCTTGCATTTAGAGACCAAGTTATCATGTTAGTTAAGTAAATAAATAGCATGTATAGTTGAATTCAAGTAAGTGACTACAATCAGCCTGTGTTGTCCTTAAGAAGTCTGTGATAGAGAAGTTTCAGTTGGGAGTTGGAGACAGGAGGCAGTTTTGTGATACTTAAATGGGATGGAGTCCAACTGTGCCGATCACTTAGCAGGTCCCCAGTAACTACTGGCTCTCTTCCCTTGCCTGCTGGGTCAATGACATTATACCAAATCCTTGGACACCCAAGTCTGCAACCTCAGTGTTGCATCGCCTCTCCAGTCTGTCCCCTCTGTCGCTTTAATACAGCATCCGGAGTCTGGCAGCTTTTTCTCTTGAGATGTACTCATCTGTGTGTGCTCCTTGTGCCCAGTGCCAGAGGTTCAGGTCAGCTCCTGTCACGTCTGTGAGAATTAGAGCCACAGATCTGGGCTTGTTCTCCCCACTCCCCAGTTCCTGCTGCTCCAGTTCATCCTGCCATCACTGCCAGCTTTTTTTTTTTTTTTTTAAGTATAGTTGATTTACAATGTTATGTTAGTTTCAGGTGTACAGCAAAGTGATCCAGTTATACACGTATGTATTCTTTTTCAGATTCTTTTCCATTATAGGTTATTGCAAGATATTGAATATAGTTCCCTGTGCTATATACAGTAGGTCCTTGTTTATCTATTTTATACATAATAGTGTGCATCTGCTAATCCCAGACTCCTAATTTATCCCTCCTTCACCCCTTTTCCCCTTTGGTAACCATAAGTTTGTTTCCTATGTCTGTGAGTCTGTTTTTGTTTTATAAATAAATTAATCTGTGTCATTTTTTTAGATTTCACATATAAGTGGTATCATATGGTATTTGTCTTTCTTGACTTACTTCATTTAGTATGGTAATCTCTAGGTCCATCCGTTGCTGTAAATGGCATTATTTCAGTCTTTTTTATGGCTGAGTAATATTCCTCTGTGTGTGTGTGTGTGTGTGTGTGTACACACACATATATATATATAACACCTTTATTCATCTGTTGATGAACAGTTAACTTGCTTCCATGTCTTGGCTATCATAAATAGTGCTGCTATGAACATTGGGGTGCATGTGTTGTTTTGAATTAGGGTTTTCATCTTTTCCGGATATATGCCCAGGAGCAGGATTGCTGGATCATATGGCAACTCTATTTTTTTTTTTAAAGAGCCTCCATACTGTACTCCATTGTGGCTGCACCAATTTACATTCCCACCAACAGTGTAGGAGAGTTCCCTTTTCTCCACACCCTCTCCAGCCTTTATTATTTATAGACTTTTTTTTTTTTTTTTTTGCGATACGCGGGCCTCTCACTGTTGTGGCCTCTCCTGTTGTGGAGCACAGGCTCCTGACGCGCAGGCTCAGCGGCCATGGCTCACGGGCCCAGCCGCTCCGTGGCATGTGGGATCTTCCCAGACCGGGGCACGAACCCGTGTCCCCTGCATCAGCAGGCGGACCCTCAACCACTTGCGCCACCCGGGAAGCCCCTATTTATAGACTTTTTAAGGATGGCCATTCTGACTGGTGTGAGGTGATACTTCATTGTAGTATTCATTTGCATTTTTCTAATAATTAGCAATATTGAGCATCTTTTCATGTGCCTGTTGGCCACCTGTATGTCTTCTTTGAAGAAATATCTATTTAGGTCTTCTGTCCATTTTTTGATGACCGGATTGCGCTCTTTTCAACACTGTGTCCATCACCTCACTCCCCCTTTCAGAAATCTTCACCAGTTCCCCATTTTCCCACTGATAAACTCTCTGGCCTGAATTGTTTTGTTTGTTTGTTTGTTTTTCCTTGTATCCATTCACCAGTGGATGGACGTTTTTGAATGTTTTTTTTAAACTGTAATTATGAAGCTTTTAAAACTAAATTTACTTATTTATTTATTTAAAGCTATTTATTAAATAGCATTGCCAATTACTAGATTTTCAAACAATATGTATAATTAGATCAAGATTTAAAGCAGAAGTAAAAAGAGGATGGATTAAAGACTGAATCCAACTTTTATTTTTCATATTTATTTAAAATCAAGCCATCTGGGCTTCCCTGGTGGCGCAGTGGTTGAGAGTCCGCCTGCCGATGCAGGGGACACGGGTTCGTGGCCCGGTCCGGGAAGATCCCACATGCCGCGGAGCAGCTGGGCCCGTGAGCCATGGCCGCTGAGCCTGCGCATCCAGAGCCTGTGCTCCGCAACGGGAGAGGCCACAACAGTGAGAGGCCCGCGTACCGCAAAAAAATAAAATAAAATAAAGCCATCTTTTTCAAATAAAAATCCAGATTTCTGGTTTCCCTTAGAAATGGGAAGATATAGGATACTGAGACCACATTCCATGTGAAAAAACTTGGCTAGAGCCGAGAAGGGGTTGCCACTTTAGTTGGGACATGCTGTCTGCAGGATGTAAGAGTCCCCACCTCTCCATATCACACTGCACCTGCTCCCCTGACTCATTGATGTCATGTAACTGACCCTGAAAGTCACTGATTATTTCTCACTACTCATTAATTGGCATTATTTGGTCAAGCCCTAGTTTTCTTCTGCTTAAAATAGAGTGAACTCGCATTGAATTATTCAACGCCCACTGTAATATGTTCCCGTTCTGTCATTCGTTCACTTCATTCATTCACTCACTTCATTCATTCATTCAACACGGGTTTACTGAATGCCTGTTTTGTGCCAGGGACTCTGCTGAACACTTGGGACACAGAGATGGCCAGGACAGAGTCCCGTCCTCCCCAGTGAGCTCACACTTCCCTGAGCTGACCTTATTTATCAGGCTTCCAACCACAGGGTGAGCTCTCCATCCCACAAACAAAGGTGCATTTATTCCCATCCCTGGTGTCACTCCCCTGCCCATTTGTCAGCTCTCTCTGGATCTGCTCCAAATCACACCCAGCCTGAAAGGCTGCTTGGTACAGCAGAAAGGGTGGCAGTCATGGGACAAGCTGGGAGATGTGGGGTAAATTACTCCCCTACTCTGAGTTTGATTTCTTCACTGTAAAGCATAGACTAAGAGTCGAGAGTCAGACTGCCTAGGGCCAGATGACTTCAGGTAAGTCACTTGATCTCTCTGAGCTACTGTTGCCTCATCTGCAAAATAAGAAGAGGGTGTTTATTTCATAAGGTTGTTGCAAGACATGAGTGGTATAATCCATATAAAGGGCTTAGCACATGTTAGCTGATAGTCTTATGACATCTTGCAGCTGTAAGCTCCTACTACTCCTCGAGGCCTCCCTAGTTGTGTTAACCCCTTTGGGACGGTCCCTCCTCCAAATTCCCGCTGTCCTCCACCATCAGCCTCTCCTCCACCATCAGTCGTGTGATTGTGCACTGTCTTGAGTACTGTTTGTTTGTCTGTTTGAAATATTTATTTATTTATTTTGGCTGTGCTGGGTCTTAGTTGCAGCATGCAGGATCTTCGTTGCGGCATATGGACTCTTAGTTGTGGCATGCGTGCGGGATCTAGTTCCCCGACCAGGGGTCGAACCCAGACAGGCTGCATTGGGAGTGCAGTCTTACCCACTGGACCACCAGGGAAGTCCCTTGAGTACCGTTTTATACGGGCCTAAGCGCTGGACCCTTTTCTTCCACTGCCTGTGTCGTGCCCAGTACCTCATAGCAGGAGCTCAATCAGTGTTTGTTAAACTCTGGTCTCCAGGAATGACCCAGCCGTGGCTGCTGCAAAGGCTCCTGCCTTTCAGAGCAGCTGCGATGGGGGCAGCCAGGCTGGGCCAGGACAAGCCCAGGGCAAGGTAAAGGGGTTGGGCTGTTCTCGGGCTGAGCACCAACTCTGCTCCTGGAGTGTCCAGAGCAGAGTTGGTCATTCATTCTCTTTCCCTGGGTCATTCATTCTCTGGAAAGGCAGGTGGATGTCTGGTTGTTCCCCTCTGCTCCAATAGGCCCTCCAAGCCCTTCAGGAGGAACAGGCCAAACTAAAGACCAGGCTACAGGAGCTGAAAAGGAAGCTCAGGGACAACCCCCAAGACAAGGTAAGCTGGGAGGGGGTATGGCCTGGTAGAAAGAGCTGGGGAGGTCTTGGTTTCACTACTGCCTCTGCCATTTCCATGCTGTGTGACCTCGAGTGTGTTACTTGAACTCTCTGAACCTGTCTGCTTCTCTGTAAAGTGGAGCTACCTACCTCACAGGCTTGTGTGAGGACAAACTAAGATTTTGTATGTAAAGTGCCAGTACATGCTTGGCCCACATTCATCCGCTTAGTTACCCAGCTCTTCTTTCAGTGTTCATCCCTGGCACTCAGCATCAGTGGCATGTAATTGAGGGTGCTTTCCTCCTGGGAGTGGGGCGCTCTCCCAACCCTGAAATCTGCATCAGCCTCTCCTCCCCCACCTCCAGGTCCCATTCCCAGTGCCTGAGACCCCCCTGGTGTTCCGAGGAGACATTCAGCAGGGCAAGGAAACAACCAAGTCTGTGGTTTCTAACCTGCGGATCTGTTACCCTCTGCCTGGAGGCTCTGCTCTGGTCACCTTTGATGACCCCAATGGTGAGCTCCGGGAAACCTTGGGAGGGAGGCTGGGAGGCTTCCTAAGTACTGACCCTGCTCCCCCACCCAGTGGCCAAGCAGGTGCTGCAGCAGACGGAGCACACGATCAATGTGGAAGGGTTCCGACTGCGGGTGCAGGTCCAGCCCTTGGAGCTGCCCATGCTGACCACCATCCAGGTGACAGAATGGCAGGGCCCTGGGATCTGCACGGGGCCCCATGCACCTGGGCACAAGGGAGTGGGGTGTGCCTGGGATGACTCCCTCCTGCCTCCCCCTAGGTGTCCAGCCAGATGAATGAACAGAGAGTACTGGTCAGTGGGTTTCCTGCCGGGCTTAAGCTAAGTGAGGAGGAGCTGCTGGACAAGCTGGAGATCTTCTTTGGCAAGAGCAAGAACGGGGGTGGCGATGTGGAGACGCGGGAACTGCTGCAAGGCAGTGTCATGCTGGGCTTCGCTAAGGATACAGGTAAGGGCCTTGTCGGCGAGATGAGAGCAGAGGCACCAGGCCACAGGAGGGGGGAGCCCTTGATGCTGAAGGTCCCCCGCTCCCTGTCCCTGCAGTGGCCCAGCACCTGTGCCAGACGGGCCAGTTCACAGTGCCACTGGGTAAGCAGCAGTTCCCTCTGAGAGTCTCTCCCTACGTGAGTGGAAAGATCCAGAAGGCTGAGGTAAGTGGGAAGGTGGAAGATGGGGACTGGACCCGGTAACCTGTCTGCCTGCCAGAAACTTGCCCAAGGAAGGACCACAGCCCCAAAACCCCACTGACCTACCCACTGCCAACCTCTCCAGGCCTCCTGCCCCCTCCCATACTCCTACGGTCACCACCTGCCCCGCCCTCTGCCCCGCCCCGACCCCCCAGCCCAACCTGCACGAGCCCTTGCCCAGCTCCTGGCTCCTTTTCCAGGTCAGGTCCCTGCCAGTGCCCCACTCGGTGCTGGTGCTCAACATTCCTGATGTCCTGGATGGCCCGGAGCTACAAGACGTCCTGGAGATCCACTTCCAGAAGCCCACCCGTGGGGGTGGGGAGGTGGAAGCCGTGGCAGTCATGCCCCTGGGACAGCAGGGCCTGGCAGTCTTCACTGCCAAGTTGGGCTAGGAGCCTGCCCTGCTCATCACCCCCCGCCCCTCTGCCAAGGTTCTCAAACGAGGCTGGGGTTGGACGCATATACAGGAGAGAGAGATCATGCCGGTCAACGGCAGGAGGGACTATGAGTTGTGAAACGCTGCCCCGAGAACAGTAAAAGCGCCTGCATTGCACGATCTTCTTCCTCATTTCATTTCAAGAAAGGAAACTCGATTAGGCCATGGAAGAAGGCTAGGGGGAGGGAGAAACCCTAGCCTTCCACTAGCAGCACTGGCCTTCCACAAGCTCCCCTTCCCGTCCACTATCAGAGGCAACATCCAGCACCCAGGGTTTGGCTTTTTATTGACACAAACACAAAGGCAGCTTCGGTAACCATAACGGGGTGGGTACACAAAAGTGAAAATCGCACTTCACACATTTAGGCCTCGTTCAGATGAAGAGGCTGAGCCCCTCCCCCCACCTCCCAATGGCAGTGGCTTGGGCAATCACCCGCCCTAATTCCAGATCCAAGGGCAGAGGGACTTACACCCCTAGCCCCGGGAAGTCCCCACTTTGGTTCCAGTGGCCCAGGTCCTAAACCTCCGCTTTGACCCCCTGTTCCATCTCCCCACCCCTGTAAACAAAGTTTGGGGCTGAGTCTGAAAAGCTGCCTCCCTGCTCTGAGGAGACAGTGGGCCTCCGTGACTACATGGGGAACGTGCTTCGATTTTTACTTTGGTCCCAGAACAAGAGGCAGATGGCATCGCCTCTCAGAGCTCTGGCTGGTAAGTGGCACACTTAGCTGCAAGGCTGAAAAAGCTGCCCCGCCTCTTCCGCCTCAACCACCATAGAGAAACGACAGCCCCAGAAGACAGGACATGGCACAGGCCCCCGGAGGCTAGGGGCTGGCCCCCCACACACCGGCACACACACAGATTTTTGGCAGTGCTATGGGACTGGGGAGCAGCGAAACCCCAGCTCCAGCAGAACAAGGAAGGCACTGGGGAGGACGGGGGCAGGAGGTGTGAGGCAGGGACCCCCACACACACAAGCAAGCTTTCCATTGCTAAGGCACTGAGAACAAATCCAGAGAACTCAGTGAAGAGGAGGGGGCTCCGTGTCCCTCCCATAGAGTGGTGACCTAGGGCAGCAGGTCTGACTCCCGCCCCTGCTGGAAGGGGCACCCCTGCTGGAGAGTGGCAGAACCCCTGGAGGTGGGAGAAGCCGATTGTGCTCGAGAAATTGGGGACAAGAGGACGAGGCCTTACAAGGTGGGCGCTGGCTGGCCCGGGTTGAAGGGACACTAGGGCGACACAGGGACATGCTGGACTCACACAGATTGGCCCCATATCCTGAGCTGGCATTTCGATTCTTTGGGGAGGTGTGGGGCGGGGGCAGGAGGGCAGACGAGGCGGAGGCGGAAGCACAGGGAACAGGACGGGAAGGGATTGGCTAACCTTGGCACAAAAGCAGCACAGCGAGGCCCGGGGAAAGGGTGGGGGCAGGAAGTGGCCGGCCTCTCTCTGACCCTCCCTGTCCCCTTGGCAGGGCCCAGACATCCAAGTGGTCACTTCCCAACCTCTTCAGAGGGCAGGAAGCGGGGAGGGGGAAGCCCTGACTAAAGAGGAAGAACAGGACAGGGGAGAGGACATCACCGCAGAGACCTTGGGGGGAAAGAGGGCAGCGCATTGTGATAGAGGATGAACCGCGAGGGTCTGGTGGCCAACAGCACATGGCTTCCCAGCTTCTCTCTTCCCCGGGCCCTGAGGGTCTCCCAGCCCCCTGCCTAGTTCTCCTTCTCCGGCCCAGGCACCAGGAGGACTTTGCCCACGTTCCTCTTCTCCTGCATCTGCCTCATGGCATCCGCCACCTGGAGAGGAAGACAAGACTCTGCTCCCAGCGCCATTCGGCCCATCCAGGGAGCTGGCCTAAAGGAGTCAGCCCTCCTCCTCCCACGACTCCTCCCCTAGGGACCCCAGCCTTCACGGCTCCTATCCAGGCCCTCCCTGCAGGGCCATCACACTCACCTTCTCGAAGGGCCACACGGAGTCGATGTGGGGTTTGATGTGGCCCTGGTTGTACAGAGCCACGAGGCGGGCCACCACACCGCTGACCAGCCCCGTCTCGCCCTCCAGGTAGCCCAGGTGGAAGCCACACACGGCTCGGTTGGCCGGCAGCAGCTGCAGAGCTGTCACACTGAACTGATTCCACCATGTGCGCGCCACGGCCATCAGGTTCCGCTTGGGGCCCGTTAGCAAGTTGGCCATTCCTGAGGGACGAGGAGACACATCCTGTGAATCCAGGTGCCAGGCACATCCCTGTGTGTCTGGATCCAAGCTCATCTGCCCCCCGCGGGCCCCTTACAATTATCCATACCGGCACCCGGGAGTGACAGGAGCACCTCCCACCTGCTGGCTACCTGGCCCAGATGGACTCTAGCCGACTCAAAGATTGCTCTAAGCTTTATATACTTGTTTATTTTTGGTGTGAAGTAGTTTTTTAAATGGAAATGCAACTTGCCCAAGAAGCCCAGGAGGTAGGACAGAGGAAGGCAGACTGGTTGACACTGCATCAGGAATAATCCCCAAACAAGAACACAGAGAGAACACAGAACTTGCTATGACTCATGAATGAGAAGGCGAGTAGCTACACCCAGGAGGGAGCGATGTGAAAGCAACATCCAGCACCAGGCTAACCGTGATGCTTCCCACAGAGCGCCAGAGTCTCTGTCCGTTCTGCATTCAAAAGCCCTGGGCCCCTATATCCTACCCCTCAGACCCCACCCTGCTTCCCCTAACTCCCCCTCCAGCCCGGCCCACCAACTCACCATAAGTGACTATTTTGCCCATGGGTTTGAGGAGGTTGTAGCCCTTGGCCGTATCTGACCCGCCCAGAGGGTCCAGGACGATGTCCACTCCTGTCAGAAAGTAGGGGGCCCAGGAAGAGCATTAGGATTCACAGATCTGGAGACGCCCCTCCCTGTCCCATGCCATCCTAGCCCTTCCCACTCCCTGACCCCACCTTTGGGAGAGATCTTCTTGATCTCCTCTACGTAGTCAGTCGTGTGGTAGTCGATGGGGTGTGTGACTCCGCTCTCCTTCAGCACCTCATGCTTGCCGGCTGAGGCCGTTCCGAACACCATCACGTTCTCTACTGTACGGCACAGCTGCACGGCAGCCATACCCACACCCCCTAAAGCAAGACACTTTCATAAAGGGGGGATATAGAGTCGTCCAGCCACCACTCTCCATTCTCACCTCTCAAGGATCCAGCCCATCACCTTCATTTTGCCTGGGCTCATCTTGAGGCTTTCTCTCCCATCATTCCATGTCTAATTTCCAAGATTGAGAATTGGGGGGAAGGTGGCTGGGAAGGAGGGGGTGCTGGGCAAGGGCACGTTGCTATGTGTAGCACACCAGGCTGGACCTGGTGGCTGAATGCTACCACGGCAACAACACTGTAGAGGCCTCTGGGCACCATAGGCCGAGGCAGCTAGTGTTGCCATGACAACAGTCCAGACAAGCAGCAGGGAAGAGGCCCGGAAGGAGATCTGGGTTGGGTAAGGAAAAGGGATAAATGGAGGGTGCCTGTCACCTGCAGCCATGTGTACCAAGACGCTGTGGCCAGGCCGTAGGTTGCCAAAGTCAAAGAGGACCATGTAGGCTGTGATATAATTGACCAGCAACGCAGCAGCTTCTTCAAAGGTCATGGCCTCAGGCATTAGGAAGGTCTGGGCCGAAGGCACAGTCACCTCCTCCTGCCACATGCCTGACCGGATCAACACCATCACCCGGTCCCCGACCTTGAAAAATGGAAAAAGAAACTGATTCACTTTGCTGTACAGCAGAAACTAACACAACATTGTAGATCAACTATACTTTAATTAAAAAAATTAAAAAAAAGAATGGAAAAAGAGCATCATTCATTCACTCATTCATTCACCCACTGGTAATTTATGACCTTCTACTATGCACAAGGCCCTCTTCCTGGCAATGAAGTAATAGTACAAGCAGCAGCAGTACTCGTGGTAATGGTTATAATAATAACAATAGTAATAATAATATCATCAATAACAACTTATCTTTATTGACTGCTTACCAAGGCCAGGCCCTATTGTAAGTGCTCTACATATAAACGCTCAATCCTCACGTCAGCCCCCTGAGGAAGATACTATCCTTATCTCCATTTTACAGATCTTACACTTTATTATTGTGTAAGATCCCTGAATGCAAGAAGCTTACAAGTTAGGGCAGCATGAAATATTGAAGAGACCAAACTGCTTAGGTTTAAAAAAAAAATGGGCTCCACTGTTTACTGACACTATGACCTTGGGCAAATAAAAATTATCTAACCTTTTTGAGCCCCAGTTTTCCTATCTGTAAAACAGGGCAGTTAATGAGGATTAAGTAGCAAAAAATCAGTGGTTTTTAGCCTAATGTCTGACACATAGTAAGAACTTCGTAGTGTTAGCTGATAATAAGGACAACAATGATGACAATATCAGAAGCAAGGAGGGGAGGTCACCAATCCATTAACTGAAGGAAGAGGGCCGTATGCTGTAAGGGCCAGACCAAAGTGCAGGTAAAGGCCTCTGAGCAGTTAGGGCTGTTACCTCAGGAGAAGGATCTGAGCCGCCACTGGGGGCTCAGAAAGAAGCTTCACCCAGAGACTGGGGGGAGGAGTGATGGCCAAGGAGAGCCACACAATCCCACCTACCAGGAAAAGGCATCCCCCCTCCCCTTCCCCATACCCTCAGCCACCTGCACAAGAGCCTCCTTGCAGGAGGGAAAGGGAGCAAAGGAAGCAGAACCTTCCCCTCCAGTTTAAGAACTGGGGTCAAGGGGAGGATAGGGGAAAGGGGAAAGGGGTCAGTCTCCAGAGGAAGGCCTCTCATGGTCCTCTGAAGAGCATGGAGAGGGAGGTGTGGGTGCTGTTCCAGGACAATCCGAGTCTGTCTTGGTCCCTGCCAGGAATGATGGGAATTCTGTACATTAACGAGACTTGGGATCCATGGGGCAGGGGGATGGGACTCCCACACATACCCTTTTTCATGTCCACACTCCATTGAGGAGGAGTACTGAGGGCAGAGTAGGACCCTTCTCTGCAAGCACTGGCCTGAGACGAGGTCTGAGCAATGGAAGCATCCCACCCCAGGACTCAGGACTAGTGGACTCAGAAATAACCCAGGAGAGCTGGGGAAAGTGTAGTGGTCAGTCCAGGTGGTGGCCAGTCGCAGATTTGGCCCAGAACAAGGTCCACTTACCCAGGCTAATGCTCACCCCTCAGCCCATTACAGGGCAGGCCCATGACCCTTCCCCAGCCCAGATATCAGGAGGGAGCGGGGGCTCTCCCCTCCGAATCCAGCCTCTTACATCATATTCTTACCCTGGACAGGATATCCTGTATTTACGAAGCGGAAAGTGTGGGGAGAAGAGGTTAGGTGGTTGGCCTTCAGCAGTAACATGAACTATTACTCCCCCAACCAAAAAAAAAAAAAAAAAAATTCTTCTTAGCACCTTCTTAGAGTAGGATTATTTAGAAGTCAGTGGAAAGGGTGGGGCCAGAGCTGATTCCACAGAGAAGCCCTTTAAGGAGGAAGAAGACGTATGCCTGTACAATAAATCCAAAAATTCCAGCTCTGAGCTCTGGGACCCGCAGGTCTGGCAAGAAGAAAGTCTGCATTTGATGAGTCTCTCTTGCAGGGGCCAGATTTGAAAAGAAACCCCTAAACAAATGACGTGCAAAGGCCTCACCCCAAGTCTCTCAAAAAGTTGACCATTTGAAACTCTCCGGTGCCTGGGGCTGTCGCCAAGATTAATGATAAACAAAAAGGAGTCACAGACCTGCAGAGCTGGGCCAACCTGCTCCCGGTGCCACACCCCCCTCCCCAGCCCAAATGGGCACCGGCCCGGTTTCTCAGTAGAGGGTCCTCTACGAGAAGACAGAGGTGGGTTCCGCCCAAAGTTCCCAAGGGCAGCCCGGGGTCGTGGTCCGCTGGCTGAGTCACCGGAGGAGGAGACAGTGCAGTCACGGGAGACAGAGAGCCCAAGACAAAGATCCAGACACCCAATCTCGCCCCCCACCCCACCCCACCCCGTCCCCACTCTCACCCCCACCCACCCCCGATCAGACTGGCAGTATAAGGCCGGTGCGCGGGAGGAAGGGGTGGCAGACTCCCTCTCCTCCATGATGGGCGTGCCTGTCTCTAAGGCCCTGCTCTGGGAGGGGCCGCCTCACACCCCCACAGACCACGGGGCTGCATGTGACTAGGGCTCTGGCACGGCCCTGCGCCCCCGCCCAACCCCGACTATATAGCTCTTCAGGCTCCCTCGCGGGAAAAAGGTACCGACCGTCACTCAGAGTCACAGACCACAATTACCCGCGGAGTGTTTAGTGGGCAGGGGTACAGGATAGGTTTCACGGGTGGTGGGAGGGGGCCTTAAAGGTCATTGTGCGCATGCGCATAGGCTCCTTATTGTTTCCCCACCCACCCAGCACCAGCACCGTTTCGGGGCGGCGGCCACAATTAAAATGTTTGGGGAGGGGGCAATTACTTCATCTCAACCTCCCACCCCCAAATATAAATCCAGTTTTCCAGGAGCCTCAGAGCACAGGCTCCTTTCCTACGTCTTCCATGCCCGTCTACCCGGGTTCGTGCCAGTTTTCCTCGGCTCTGCCACACCTATGGCGCCCGCCCACTCGTGCCCCACTGCCCCGTGGCCCGCGCAGCCTCTCCCTGCCCTGCCCTGCACTGGCCCGCTCACCTTGCGGTCGTTAACTCCCTCTCCCACAGCGATCACCACGCCCGCGCCCTCCATGCCTGGAGTGAGGGGCAGCGGCGGCAGCCGGTCGTACAGCCCCTGCCGGGCCATAAGGTCGGCGAAGTTGAGCCCGCAGGCCTTGACGCGCAGCGTCAGCTGGCCGGTCCCGGGGGCCGGGGGAGCGGCCGGCCGGGTCTGCAACTTCACCTTGTCGTAGCCACCGAAGCCGGTGAGCACCAGGCAGCGCAGCGGCGGCGGCGAAGGGGCGACGGGCCCCTCGGAGGCCGCGGGTGGCTGGGCGTCGCCGGCTGCCTCCTCCGCCTTCGGGAGCTGCGAAGAGGCATCTTCTCCAGCCTCTGCCTCGGCCACCGCCACCACGGTGGCCGCCTCGGCTACCTCTCTCTCGGCGGACATGGCTGGGACGCTCGACGTGCGCGCACAGCTGGACCGAGAGTGCGCCGCTGGGGAAGGCGGGGCGCGAGTCAGGACTTGCTAAGGCTGCCGACTCGGAGCGGGCGGGGCGGGGCGCCGGGACGGGGGCGGGGCCTCGAGCGCGGACTTAAAGGGCCAGGGCCACCGTGCAGGTGCGGCGCGAGCGCGAGAAGTGGAGAGGAGGCGCTTATTGGGTACGGGCCCACGCGAGGTCCTTCTTGGGATCATGAAGACTGCGAGTTAATTTACTTATTTATTCATAATAATTAAGCTAAAAATATATTAAGGGACAGTCTGAAGGACGATCCCAAAACCTGAGCTTACATCAGATGTGGGGAGCCAGCCACCTGTGGAGCGGAACCCAACCGAGTTGTTCCTCAGGCTCTGACACGACCCATATGAGACCCATTCTTTGCTTGCAGTGGCAAACTTGGAGCAGGGTGACCGAGCCATCTGACTTTGTTAAAGCTCTGTACTTCAATTGTCCTTTCTGTAAAATGGTGATGGTGTTGCTTGCTCTAATTAATCTAATTAATCTTCGGATGCTGTGCTCATCTGCTTTGACATTAGCCGACCAGAAACACTGGACAGTGTCCTCAAGAAGGTGGGAGCCTAGGGAAGCAGGACGGCTAGACTGACGGGGACCAGAAAACACATGGGCCAGGAGGAGGGAATTACAGCTGAGCATGGCCGTCAGGGAGAGTGTGTGTGAAGCTCTCCCCCTCCCCAATCCCCCCCTGACTTCCTGGAAATCCGTCCTCAGAGCTGGATATGGCATCTGGGGGAGATGGGGGACAACAGGGAGGAGTACTCAAGGGACTTCTCGTCCACCCTCCCCATCTCCTTGGGTGTGGGAGCCCCAGATGGAGGGGATAGGAATGCTGCTGCTGGAGCTCAGGAAAGCCCTGTGGTCTCCTCTCCAGGCCCCTATCTCCATGAGAAAAGCCCATGGTGAATGGACAGAAGTCGGCTAAGGCAGCCCCAGTTCCCAGGGAGGGGAAGGGAGGGCGGGACTGGTCTGTTCCCAGGAGCAAATTTGGGAAAGGGGATGGCAGACCCTTCATGGCCACTAAGGTAGAAGCAGGGCCCCACCCCTGCCCTCTCCTCCCTTCCCTTCTCCCACACCCTTCCTGCTTTCAGCCCAAGCCCACCACTCTCACTTCCTTGCTTACTTACATGGGAGAGCCCAGAGAGGTGCATGGTTTCTGCATGCTGTGAGCAAGGATTCACCCTGTGCTGCCTTCTACCCCTGCATAACTCTGATTTCTTCCTCCAAATAGTGGCAAGGGGAGACTCAGGAGTTTTGCCCCAATGCCAAGGTTGTGCTGGTTGGCTGTAAACTAGACATGCGGACCGACCTGGCCACACTGAGGGAGCTGTCCAAGCAGAGGCTTATCCCTGTTACACATGAACAGGTGGGACCCTTGATCTCTGACCTAGTCCCAGCCTAGACCTCTCACCTCTGCCCCTCTCAGCCTCTGATTTGAAAACACCCTATTTGGCTAATCCCTTGCCCTGGCCTCTGACCTGATCCCTTGACCACCCCCTGCCCTCAGCTTCCTTGCCCCTTGCTGAGCTGCAGGCTAAGCCCTGTAACTCTCTCCACTCACTCCATCCTTCCAGGGCACTGTGCTGGCCAAGCAGGTGGGGGCCGTGTCCTACGTGGAGTGCTCCTCCCGGTCCTCTGAGCGCAGCGTCAGAGATGTCTTCCACGTGGCCACAGTGGCCTCCCTCGGCCGGGGCCATAGGCAGCTGCGCCGTACTGACTCACGCCGGGGACTTCAGCGATCTACTCAGCTGGCAGGACGGCCGGACCGGGGAAACGGGAATGGGACCGGAAACGAGGGCGAGATACACAAGGATAGAGCCAAGAGCTGCAACCTCATGTGAAGGGCCCCGTGGGCAGACTGAGGAGGGAAGGTGTAGGCACAGTTGTCCCCCTGCTGGCCACCGGCCTCCTGACCTCCTGACTCTGGCTGGGACTTTAGGGTGGGCGAGTGAGCAGTTCTCCTGGGCAGGGAAGCTGGAGGCAGAAGGGTACCGCCATTCCCCACATCCTCATTCAGCTCCTCTCCAAGGCAAGTTGAGGGAACTAGCAGAACAGGCATCTGGGCTGGGAGCTGGGATGGGGCCAGGGGGTTGGGGAAGCTGGCATCAAGCGGTGACCTTGGTTGAGTCTCAGTATATGAAGGGTGCCTTCCCTCCCCACCTTCAGTTCCCATATCCTGGTCCTGGCTTCCTTCCCCAAGGAAAGTGTCCATTCTCTGACCTTCCCTCTTCCTCTCCTCTCACTTCTACAGCTGTTCTCACTCATCCTAACCTCCAGGCAACATGCACTAAATTAAAAAGCAAGTTGAGAAGCCTCTCCCCCAATTTACCCACCAGTCTTAGCTCCCTCCCTCCCTTCCCCCAAGAGTCCCCAAATAAAGCCCATGTCCATGGAAAACGACTGTGGCTTTAGTTTTGTTGCTTTCTAAGAAAACAATCTACCAGTCTCTAGCAGCAGGAGGGAAAGTTAGACTTCAGTAAGAACTTCCCTGTCGATGCCCACAGACGGAGCAGAGGAAAAAGCCATGGGTTGGATCAGCAGTGTCCTTTTCGGAGCCAGAGGCGGGAGAGAGAGATATCTTGGGAATATTCATGTCAGTTAATGAGCCAGACGATCCTAAAGCCGTTAGGGGGTTTTAAAGTGGACTGATGTGCAATTCATTACTCAGCCCAACTGGGGCCCCTGCTAATGTGGGAAGGATCCGGCTGAAGTGGTCCAGGCCGCTTGCTCACCATGTCCAGCCCCAACTTGGAATCTGCTGGTGCCCTGGGAGCTGTGGGTGTAGGGAGGGCACCAAAAGCCTCCACATCAGGGTGACCCTGTACAGAGTGGTTTCCCAAGGGAACAGTAGTTTGATTCTGGGGTCTCCTTGGAGGCTGGGGCAGGGGCTCTCTCCCTCTTTCCATCCTGAGCTCCTTGATGATTTTGGAGGGAGCACAAGATGTGAGTTGAGGGTCACACCTCCCCAACCCCCTACAGAAGGAAAGACGGTGGAGGGGCCGGCCAGAGCACTTGTTGTCTGGAAAGACAGTGCTGGTCTGTTTTCTCCGGAGTCTGGTTTCACATTGTCCTGTATTCCCTCCCTGGCTCTGATCCCACTGGCCTCTTTTCGGTGACATTCTCCCCCAGGAACCATCCGTGGCTCTCCCCTCCCCCAGCCCCAGCCAGTTCTTCAGACACACTCTGGGAGAGAACACAGACCTTACCCTCCCATCTGCTGGGATCCCCACCTAATTCACAGCCCATCTTTCCCTCATTCATTCAGCAAATGTGTACTGAGCACCAACTGTGTGCCAGACACTGGCTTGGGATTCTGAAAGGACCAGTCTCTGTGCTCTGGAGGCCAGCCCGGTGGGGAAGAGAGGTACCCCAGGTGTGATGGTTCCCTGGTTGTGGAAGCTCCTTACAGCCTCAGAAGCCCATCCTCTGAGCCAGGTCCTTGAGGGTTGAAGAGGAGTTTGCCAGGCAGGGAAGGGGCGGGAAAGGCACTCTGAGCAGAGGGTACAGCATGTGCAAACACGTGGAGATGAGGAAGAGCATGGCACCACTGGGGCTGCCATGGCAGGGAGGGCGGAAGACAAGGCTAGGAAGGTACAGGGAGGCCGCTGCAGGGCCCACAAGGGAACCAGGGCTTCATGCGGAGGATGTGAGGCAGCATGAGGGATTTCAAGCAGAGAATGAAGGGACCAGATTTGGTTTTTGGATAGATGGTTATCCGGATGAGGTGATGGGGGGCTGGGGTGGGGGTGGGGTGGGGGGCGCAGGGAGGGTGTCTAGGGGGTTTGGCTCTGTGATGTGTCATTTAAAATAGCGTCTCCCTCGGGACTTCCCTGGCGGTTCAGTGGTTAAGACTCTGTGCTTCCACTGCAGGGGGCACGGGTTCAGTCCCTGGTCAGGTAACTAAGATCCTGCATGCCAGGCAGTGTGGCCAAAAAAGAAACAAACAAATAAAATAGCTTCTCCCTTCCCTACGCCAGGGCCCAGTCTTGAGAGGAAAGGAAATCCCCACCCACTCCTGCCTCATCAAACACTCCTTATCCTCCCTCTTCCTCCAAGACCCTGTCCTGGTCCATCTCAGCCAATCTCCTCAAGGATTCTGGGACAGCTTCAAAGGCACCGGGCACCCTACCCTCTTAAACTGAGACCTGGTTAGGGGCTGACTCCAGCATCCTCTGCAAAGATACTGAGTCCTGGATTGAGGGTGCTGGAGAGCGCTGGGGCTCAGCTAGGTGGACCTCAGTCTGGTCCCAGAGGCCTGACCCTTCCCCCACAGGGGCCTGATATACCACTGTCTTGGGATTTTGTCTGTGGCTTCTCATCTCCACTTTGAACTTTGGTACAAACCAGGCTCAAAGTACGGAGTGTTTGCACCCCCTCTCTTCTCCCAACCTCCCTCTCCTGCCATGCTCAGGGAATGCAAACACATTTCAGTATTTGCCTAAAACAAACATAATTAGGAAGATAAATCAGCTGGAGGAACCCCTAAAGTTTATAATACATTTCCAGTACCACCGGGAACAGATATTGGTCCCCTCTGCAGGTCTGGGTTGCCAGACGTTTTATTTCCTCTACAGAGGGGTCTGTGCCTCTGGGCTGAGGAGCCCAAAGGGTGAGAGGAGGGAATGGGGCTGTTCCTAGATCCTCAAAGGCCCCTGCAGGCTGGAAGGAGGGGACCTTCCCCTCACCCCAGATGCAGGAGTCAGTCCCAGCTTCCTCCTCTGCAGCTGTTTCCCCACAAATTGGACACCCCTTTGGGAAACAATGTAGCCTCGTTAATCATTTAATGAAATAAACAACTAATCACATTGTGTTGCTGCCAGTGTTTCTTAACCTCAGCAGTCAGCCTGCCATGGAGGGAGGAGGCGGAAGGAAGGAATGGGGTAGGGGCGGGGACTTGGTCTAACACCTGAAATGCTTCAGCTGACAGAGGGTCATCCCCTTATGACTCCAGCCTTTCCAGGAGGGACAGTCATGAAAAGCGCTTAATATTTGGAGGCAGAGGTCCGAGGGCCTGGGTCCTAGCTCTGCTGCTTCCTCCCTGGGGAGCCTTTAGTGAGGCCCTGCAGGCATCTGAACCTCAGTTTTCATACTTGGAAAAGGGAGCTGATTGCCACATCTGCCTCACTGTGTTGCTGAGGAGGATTCAGAGAGGAGAAAGGATGTAGAAAAGTTGTTTGAGCCTTTAAAGGGGGCTGAACTGATACCGACCTTTATTTTTTACAACTTGCACATCCAGGCTTGAGTGCCTCTGAACTGGGCCTGATGGAATAAGGAAAGGCTTCTTGGAGAGGGCCTCTTGGGATTCAGACTGGAGGAAGGCCAGAAGACAGGAAGGGGCAGGTCAGGTGTCTCGTCCCCATACCTATCCTGAGGGCTAGAGAGAGAGGTCTAGTGACTCCTCCAAAGGACATCCTTTGGTCCCCCATTTTTCTGAACTCCCCCATTACCTTTTCTGAAGTCTGGGTGAGGGCACCAGGTTGCCATAGTGACCCCACTCCAGATACACGCAGACTGGTCCTGCAGGCTGTGGGAGGTGGGGGGAAGGGGTCATGTCCCGCAGGTTCCTGGTGGACACCAGGACCCTGGCAGGCAGTCCTGGTACAGCTGCCCCCTACACTACTCTCTCTTCCCCAGGAAAGGGGTTCAGCTCTTCTGAGTATCCCCCCCTCCCTCTCTGCCAACAAAGGAGTTTCTTCTACACAGTGCAGCCCCTCTCCCCACTTTCCCCCTTTCAGCTGGGTTCCCAGGTCTCTCTCCATTTCTAGCCAATCCCCAACTCCCTCTCCTCAAGGCTGGGGGTGAGGGTCAGAGAGAGGGGAGGCACCAGGTCCAGGCATGTGGGGTGATTCCCAAGCAGCTACCCCCGCCTGCAGCCAAAGAGACAAGAGGGACACGTACATAAGTGCCCCTCCCCCCAAGAAAATGCCTCTGCTGTTGACTCCTAAATAACAGATGTCTGTCTGCATATTAATGAGATTGGACGAATAATTGGTGAGTTTTTCATTCAGTGTCAGAATGAACCCAGAGGCCTTATGTTCATGCACACAGACACCCACTCACTGACTCTCCCCTTCCCCCAGAGCACAATGAGACAGAGGCAGTGGCTGGCAAGCTTGAACCACAAAGGGGAGGGGCAGACAGGGAAGTGGGAGGGGGCGTCAGCAGGAGGGAGACTGCCACCGTCTGGGTCTGTCAGGTTTCTCCCTCTTGACTGCTATCTCCCCAGTCCCCCACTCCCACCAGGGGCAAAAGCTTGCATTTGTGCGATTTCACCACCATGCAGAAGGGGCCCAGAGGAAGGTGGGAGCCTGAAGGGAGGGAGGGGGGAGGCAGGTGCTGCCCAGAGGGGAGCAACAAAGCAGTGGCCTCCTTCAGCAAGGTTGTTGCCTCCTATGAGCCTGGAATCAGGGGGCCCTTACCCTGCTTAGCCCCTGCGCCAGGGTGTGAGGTGGTTTTTGAATCAGATAGCTGCCATCTGCCAGCTGGGTGCTCTTGTGCAAATTACCCAACCTCTCTGAGCCTCTCATTTTCCCGTCTCCAAGAACACCACCTTGCAAGACTGAAAGGAAGAAATGAGATAAAATGTGTCATGTGTCTGTCTTAGTGCCTGGTTTACAATAGGCCCCCACACATATTTGTTTTCTCCCCACCTATCCCTAAAACACACCAAGACAGTTTCAAAATTGCTGCCTCTCCTGCCAGACACACGCTCCTTAGGGCAGGGGCGAATTAGAAGTTTAGTAATTATCCCGGCTGCCTAGAAACCTGGGGGTAAAGATACAGAGAGGAGCAGGAACAGAGAAAGAGATTAGATAGACAGAGGAGAGAGAAGTGATGGAACCCAAGGCCTGGAACAGAAGGATAGACCACAGAGACACAGAGACGCAAGCTGGGAATGGAGAAGGTACTGCAAGCAGTGGAGTGAGCCCTGGAGTGAGAGTCTAGAATCTACACTGTGGATTCCGGAAGCCCCGGCTCTGCCATGCTCGCTGTTTGACCTTAGCAAGTCTCATCCTCTCTTAGCATCTTATTCTCCTCATCTGTAAAATGAGGGGTTGATTTGCCCTCTGGGTCCCTTCGCACTGTGTGGGAACAGGAGTCCCAGTGGCAGCGGGTTGGTGGGGGGAGCAGGGGAGAGGAGGCGGGATCGCCCCCGCCCCCCCCCAGCAACTTACTATGGCCCATCGGTCACTCTTGCTCTGTGTCCTCCCTCCCTTGGTAAATAGATCTGCTGCGCCAGCAAACAACTGTCCATTGTGTCCTAATGAGGGACGAGCAGGGAAAACTAATCACTTATGATGCAAATGAGCGGCGGCTGCGGCCTCCTTGCTTTCACTGAGTGCCTCTCTTCAGCGCCGCCCCAGTTGGGCCTTTCTCCTTAGCCCCAGTTCCCATCT